TAATATTGAATAATGTTTTGTTGACAACGTCGTTATCATTATTATTTTACATCATAGACACTGCGACAAAATGAAACTGTGAGCTCTCGCTGTGTAATATAATCGACATAAAAAAATTATATACATTTACAAACAATATTGTAATACTATACTATACTTCGTTTAATGTAATACATATTTTACACAGGTTTGTGTGGTATGACGGTATATTGTTTAATTTCTGGTGTAATATTTTTAATTTAGTGATGGGCAACAATATCGATATTTTCGATACGATATCGTAAGACTTACATTATAGCGATACAATATCGGAAAAATCAGAACGTTATCGATACACAACATTATATCGTTGCTCATCTCTACCTTTAATTTTTTTTTTGAATTGAATCGAGAGATTTTTTTATTATATGAATAATACAATAAAATTACAAAGTATTAAAAGAAATAATAAAAATTACCTACACTCTTAAGCTAAGCTTAGGTGGTGGAGGGAGTAACAGTGCACGCATGTGATTTAATTAGATTATTTAATATAACACATAGTAACAAACACTGTACAATAAAAAGAGAGAGAGAGAGAGAAAAAATATATGTATATATAATACTTATAATAAACACTGACATGATTCACAAAATAAAACATTATTGATACTTTTTTAGATTCTGAGTGAAACGATGAATGTATTGATTTTACAATGATGTGTGTTTTTTTTTATTTTTGTGTCTGTGTACACGATTAGTAGTCGAAATAATGCTTCGATTTTCAACTTTAGTAATTTTTTTGATGGGAAAGTGATTCTAGTTGGTACTTTTGGGAGGTTAAAATTTAAAATTCCCAATAGTTTTCACAAGCGCCAAGAAAAACAAAAGAAAAATTAAGGAAAAACGGGAATTTTTACGCAAATTCGATTTTTCACAAAATTGAATTTGGTTTTTGGTGTAACTTTAAAACAAATGACCATAGACACTTGAAATTATCACTGGTTGTTTATATTTGAATTTTCTATACACTATAACATTTTCAAAATATTTTGATTTATTTTGAACTGTTTAGGGACATTTTCATTTTCCATTTTTTTAAATTTTTTTTTCTAAAGATATCAATAAAATTTTATTTGTTGGCTGAAAAAGCTTGAAAATTTAATAGAAGGCTCCTAGTATACTGTTCCAAAGGTAGATGAAAAATATTAAAAATCCTTAGTCACAGTTTTTTTTTCTAAGCGTTTAAAGTTCAAAATATGACAAGATATGGAAAATCACAAAAATTAGCAAAATATTTTGAGTTAAGAATTCTTAAAAATTTTTCTTTTTAAACCTCAGATTTTAAAATTTAATAAAAGATTCCTTATAGGATTATCTGCCTTTATCAAAAAAAATAATGTCTATAAGAAGGTCAAATTAAATTTTTATGAGCGTTTGAAATTCAAATTTTTACAACATTGGATATTCACTCGATTTCTCATGTAGCGATTTTCTTATTTTGTTAGGTTTTTTGTAGAGCAATTTTTTATTGATATATTAGTTCAAATAAAGTTCCGAAAATCCTACCAGTGAAAATATTTATTACCATAATGCGATGCCGGTTAGTGGTTTATATAACTTTCATTACATAAGGTATCTGGTAATGTAAATTTAAATGATTTATAACATTTACTATAATAAATTGTAGTTTGTGTTAATTTTATGTATATTATTATTAAATTATATAAATGATTTATGTTTATAATGCTATTACTAATACAAGTTTCTTACATAATTATATTATTTGTTTAAAATATAATTCAGTGCTTTCCTACCGAACTATTATAGTGTAGTAGTTCTGTACTTAAGGGAGGGGACGTTACAGTGACATTTGTTGTCTCCGTCTTACAAGTGCGTAACATAGCAAATATTACGCTTAGAAAAAGACGCTTATCTCCCGTTAGTTTAAAAATTAGAGCGAACTGACCTCTTATACAATTTAAAGGTAAGATTATAATCTAGACAATGACATAGGCTTTTTATTATAATTTAATTTTAAAGCGAGTTATGTGTATTTTAAAATTGTAAACTGTTTGTACATCTTAAAATACTCATAACTCGCTTTAAAATTAAAATATAATAAATAGCTTATGTCATTGTCTAGATAATAATCTTACCTTTAAACTGTATAAGAGGTCAATTTGCTCTAATTTTTAAACTAAAGGCAGATAAACGGGTTTTTCTGAGCTTAAAATGTGCTATGCTATTTAACACAGAGAAAACAAATGTAACTGTAACGGCCCCTTAAGCTTATAGAACACACGTAGGTACCTATTTAAATATTTTAATTCTTTATTTTCTGCCAACAACTAGACAAAAGTATCGACAACATTTCTTTAATAAACAAGTTGACATGACATTTACGTAACAATAGAATGTTGATTATTATATTAAATTACAATATTTAATCGGAAAACGTGTAAAAATGTTAATAATATTATGTAGAACTTAATAAAGATTTTATTTAAATAAGCCACTTAAGAGTTTACTCTGCAGTTATACTTATATCTAGTGTTTGAAAATTTCATGAAATATTTCAGCATTTTAATATATTTTGTTTTATTTTTAAATAAGTTTTATATTTACATATAATTGTCATAAATTACCTTCATCACTATATGGTACCTGTATGTATACCTAACCTTTGGTGTTATACATTTAAATTGGTATTCAAAATTTTTAAATATTTTAATGTTTAAATGATACAAGTAGGTATACAATATTATACATGTATATTGTATACTTACTGAATTCTGACATTAGAATTGAACATTGTGTTAAAAAAATAAATAAATTGTGTTTTTATTTGTGTTAAAAAAAATTTCAATGCTTCACGTTTTTGTGAAATATTTCACAACTTAGTGAAATATTTCTCATACTTCAAACACTACTTATATCTGTGTAAAATATGAATATAACTTCGGTATTTAATTTTTTGTTTGAAACGAGCTTACTATACTCAATAATAAGAACTTAGGCGATGTACATAGTTTTATCTATCCTGTATTTAAATCAGATAACCGAAATGTTTTTACTAACTAGTAACTATACTGTCCTTTTTCTCAATTAAATTACATCACAACACTGAAAACAAGTTTGGTTGAATTTAAAGTATGTCATTGTTTAAGAAATATGGTGTAAGTCTCGCCCTTAAACACTAATTATTCAATGAGATACATAGGCGTTTGAAAATATGTTATAAGTAAAGCACACAAATATATACTTAGGATAATGAAAAAAAAATTCTGTAATACTATTGTAAGTTATAAAAATCATTGTGTAAATCAGTAAATCAAACTACTTTTATGGGAGGATATTCATCAACTTTTAGTTTATCGTTGATAAATTATTTTTTCTAGCTTCGGATTTTTTCCAAAACATTTTTTCATTATTTGGACTACAATAATTCATCAATAAACTATACAATTTAAAAATAATTTCTGTTTGATGTACTTTAAGAGGACGTGCACCCACGTGTGTTGTCTCTGTACACACGCGTACGACATAGCAAATGTTCAATAGGGTGCTGTCAGTTTTGAATTTTGATATCAGAGCGAATCGACCCATTATCAAACTTTTAAGTGACAAAATTATCTGTGTTCTCTCTTTGGTTTTTTACGATATTTTAGGTTTGAAGTTAATTATGAGCATTTCAAAATATCAATGTTTTACCTATTCACAACTCACTAAAAATTAAAATATTTTAAACAATTAACGATAGAACTCAGATAATGTTGTTACTTATATGTTTGATAGTGGATAAATTCACATCTAATATCAAAATTGACCACAACCTATTGAAAATTAGGTTTTATTTATTTCATTGAAAATAAACGAAAATTGTCTATACCGTACGTGTGTATACACGTACGGTATAAGACGGAGACATCAGACAACAAATGCGGGTGCATGAAGAAATTTTTTTTCAAATTTTATAATTTATTGGTGAATTATTGTAGTCCAAATAATGAAAAAATGTTTTGGTAAAAATCCGAAGCTAAAAAAATTAATTTATCAACGAGAAAATGAAAGTTGATGAATATCCGCCCATAAAAGTAGTTTGATTTACACAATGATTATTATAACTTACAATAGTATTTCAGAATTTTTTTTTCATTGTCCTAAGTATATATTTGTGTGCCTTACTTAAAACATATTTTCAAACGCCTATGTATCTCATTGAATAATTAGTGTTTAAGGGTGAGACTCACACCATATTTCTTAGACAATGACATACTTTAAATTTAACCGAACTTGTTTTCAGTGTTGTGATGCCCTTTAACTGAAAAATTAGGGCAGTATAGTTTCTAGTTAGTAACAACATTTCGATTATCTGATTTAAATACAAGATAGATAAAACTGTATACATCTCCTAAGTTCATATTATTGTGTCCAATATTCTAATATATCTATTATAAAAATATTTCGTGCACTGAATATCAATACGGATTGTAAAAATAAAAAAATAATAAAAAAATGTTTTTGTCAATATTTCCATAAGAACATTTTATTATAACAACAATTGATAAACATACTAAGTATTTTGGGTTGCAACAAAATCAACGTAAGACAAATTTTTGAAAAAGTCAGTCTTACATAATGTTATACACAATATCTGTCTTCACATTTTCATAGCTAGTAGCTACACCAGCTGGTAGTATGGTCATTACTGCGGTCATCGACACTAAACTCGATCCTTGCCCGAACAACCGTCGTCACAGGAAGCAGATATCGGGAAGAGTACGCTTTCGCCTCTGGACAAGACGGTTGCGGAAGTTCGGCCCGGTGAGTTTGCTACCTTATACTCGTATAATCGTACCAACAGACCTACCGATCATTTTTCTGGCGATGTCTGTGTATCCGAGTGTTTATTTTTATAGGCAGTAATCTTATGCAACTGGTCTTATTAGCAAGCCGAAAATTGGGGTCTTACAGAAAAATACATATTTACTGTTTTAAATATAACGTCGTGAACGCAATTATTTGGAACAGCGAATATATTTTGCTGTACAACTGCAGCTATTTGTTTGCAAATAAAAACCGTTTGTTTTCTTCCTCCGAGTACTATAGCAATAAAAACTCGGATACAACAACACAAACGTCATCAGCAAAATAACCGGAACCAAACCATATAACGAGTAGTAGTCGTCATCTACGAAGTCTTCTCCAGATTCGTCGTAATAACTGCAATTAAATAAAGACAACATAATAATATAATACATATTTATATTTATAATTAATTATAATAATAATAATAATAATAATAATAATCGTTCTGATTGTTTTATTTAGGCGACATCTGCAGTGACTATTGACTAGCCATGTATTTATAATACAAATATTAAATAATAATAATATTGTTATGGTTTTTTTTCTTACAGTTATCTAGTATTTTTATTTTTTATAGTCACTAATGCCCAACCACTTGAAAATTCCCCGAGAGCAATAACATTAATTACTAGGAAATCGACGTACACTTAACTAATTTACGCTGCAACAATAAACATCACATTTGTGTCGAAGTCCAAATTTACAGATCAGATGGCGGTTTTATAGAAAACCCCGCATAAGTATATTTCGGTGGTGGTGATTATTGTGGCCCAATCCCTAAATCAAGTACGAGTTGCGACCACATAATAATTATTACCACTTAGTATAAGATTGAAGTCCTCTTGTAAAAATAAGTTTATTTTTATTGTTTTTATTATTAATGTTTATGTTCTTTTTTGACAATGAGTGGTTTTGTCGTAATTTAATTTTATTCGAAATTTTAAATTATTTGTTTGGAAAAGACATGAAAGATATGCTTAATGATTTAACGAAATTAAAATACACTATTAATTTTAAAATTAATTAAAAAACTACGGATGACAGCAAAGATTAGACGGGGCTTAACAATGTTAACAAAACAGTTTTTTTTTTTTTTAAGAAAATTTCAATTAGCTATTTAGTTGTTTAGATTTGATTGAAATGATATAACATTTATGGTGCTAATTTCGCTACCTAAGGATCGAACTCTTAATTTCCTGCAGTGCAGTTACTTACTTACCCTTCCATGACCCAAGTATGACTAAATACAATTTGATTATGGTATGTTGTACGATAACTATAATGTAAGTTAGCAAACTCACCGGGAGTACGCCGCAACATCTTCAGCAACAGTGTTTTCCACCGATGACGGCGGAATACTGTTCGACGTCAGCTGCAGCTGATTATGATTATTCGGGTAAGGACCAGGTTTAGCTTCGGTAACAGAGGTTGAGTGATCTTGTTGATTCCTGATGTATGCCGAGGCCTGGTGGGGCTCGGTAGCCACACTCGAGCTGTCGTGGTAATGGTCTGCCCTAGTGTAGACCACAGTTGAGTCAGATTCGGTGACCACGGTTGATTGGTTTTGTTGATTCTTGATGTATGCCGAGGCCTGGTCGGGCTCGGTAGCCACACTCGAGCTGTCGTGGTAATGGTCTGCCCTAGTGTAGACCGAAGCTGTTGTGGACTGGGTTGATATGCTCGAGTTGTAGTGGTAATAGTTTTCCCTGGTGTAGACCACTGCTGAGTCAGATTCGGTGACCGTAGTTGAGTGGTCGTGTTGATTCTTGATGTGTGCCAAGGCCTGGTCGGGTTTGGTTACCATGCTCGAGCGGTCGTGGTAATGGCCTGCCCTGGTGTAGACCATAGCTGGAGTGAACTTGGTTACCATGCTCGAGCTGTAGTGGTAATGGTTTGCCCTGGTGTAGACCACTGCTGAGTCAGACTCGGTGACCGTAGTTGAGTGGTCGTGTTGATTCTTGATGTGTGCCAAAGCCTGGTCGGGTTTGGTTACCATGCTCGAGCGGTCGTGGTAATGGTTTGCCCTGGTGTAGACCACTGCTGAGTCGGATTTGGTGACCGTAGTTGAGTGGTCGTGTTGATTCTTGATGTGTGCTGAGACTCGGTCGGGTTTGGTTACCATGCTTGAGTGGTCGTGGTAATGGCCTGCCCTGGTGTAGACCATGGCTGGAGGGAACTTGGTTGCAATGCTCGAGCGGTAGTGGTAATGGCCTGCCCTAGTGTGGAACATGGCTGTGGTGGACTTGGTTACCACCATTGAGGGGTAGTGGTAATGGTTTGCCCTGGTGTATACCACTGCTGAGTCGGATTCGGTGACCGCGGTTGAATGATCGTGTTGATTCCTGATGTATGCCGAGGCCTGATCAGGTTCTGTTAAAACGTTCGAGCTGCCATGGAAATGACCTGTCCTGGTGTGGAACACAGCTGGGGTGGACTTAGTCACCTTCGCGTGTTGGCCACACTGGTAGTGATATTGCGACGAGGGCTGGAAGTTCTGGTTGTCAGTGGGTTCTTCGGCAGCCATCCACGTGAGGACGGCAAAGGTGTCGGGTGGCGACGATCGCCGAGGCCAGAGCCGAAAGTTTCTGTTGTCAGCCAGTCCGTCGGTGGCCATCATTAAGGGAGCGGCAACGGTAGAGGGCGGCGACTTGAACAACGCCAAACATAGGACGACAAAACACAGCATAATATGTTTCGTTTTTTTATGTAAAATAAACATTCCATACAACAAATTCATATTTTTAAAACACTTTCAAAAAGTTTTTCAAGAAACTATTGTCAGAATGTTTTGTTTTAAAAACATTTTTTTGGCCAGCAAAGTAATAAATAGTGTTATATATCTATTAAATCTCAATGTTTTACCTCATACTTGATAGGTACCTTATATTGTTAATTATAAACTAAAATGTATTTTCATAAATGCTAATGTGTACCTGTCATGAGCTGGACAGAATTACCTGATAGAAGATTTTGACTGATAAGTAGAGGTGGCTTGTAAGTTTAAGTAGAGCAGTGTTTTACAATCTGTGGGAAGTGGTACACATTGCTGAGGAAGCGCAAACGGCCATCATGAAGTAAAATTTGTATTAATATAACTTAACTGTCAACTTACTAAATTTCTTTTTTTATTAACGTGAAATTAATGAATTAATTTTTCACTTTAATAAGTAATTTAAGTTAATTTATTGAAACGATGAATTGTATGGCACGATGAGGGAAAAAACGTTCCTGACGAAATACAATTTTTTCATAATATTATATTAAATAATTATTTTAGCCAAAACATAAAATGTTCATTCTATCATACTGATCGATCTAGTAATTTGATAATACTTTTAAAAAATAGATTTGAATTCGTTATTATGTCTACTTGAGATTGGTCAGTCCATTTTTCCCGATTTCACCCCCCCCCCCAACCACTAAAAATTTTGCTTGAATATTATTAAATTTCGGTAATTTTCTGTTATTCTGTATTTATTCGGAATTTAAAGCAGAAATCTTAAAATGTGGACTGACCGATGCCTAATAGAAATTCTATAACGAATTCAGGTCAGTTTTCAGAAATATTATCTCATTATTAGATCGATTGGTAGGATGGAACAAATAAATAGAGTGGGTGCTGTTAGTTGTAGAGACGGTCAGCAATAGATTGATTATAAATATCTTGCGTATATTGATAATTATTGATAATACATCGCTACACTACGTATATTATGCATTTTTTTTTATAATTATTATAATTAATAAAATATAATATAATGTAATAAGTATATAATATATATAAGTATTGAATTGTACGTGGGTAATATATTTTTTGTCAATACTCACGCCTGCACCGAAAGTTTGGTTTTTGACCGCGGTTGAAGAGTTGGAAAGCGACCTTTTTCCGTCAAGCGAGCCGTAAAGTGGGAATGGGAATTCTCATAGTGCCAGGGGAAAAAAGTCGAAATCCTCAAAAGTGCTATGCACGTATATCACGAGTATTTCATGCACAACCAGACACTGAAATCTATACCACGGTCCTTACAAAGCATAAACTTTTGGTTACATCTTATTTACATATTATAATCTCCTTGCATGACGCGTAAACATTTTTATTTCATGAACTTGTTTTTGTAGAATAATCTGATTGCTGCATATATCCCTATATAGTGCTTTACCTTTGCCGTGATTAAATTTTTTTGTGTCCGAGTTTGGTATAGACTAGGTAATAGATAACGGGTATAACGCGATAGGATTTGAAACAGAGTAATAAGATCTGCATATTATTATGCATTTATAATTATTATAATTTATAAATTATAACAATTTTGTGACTTTAATTTTAATGATAAGAAATCAGAAACTTTTAAAACTTTCCTTCTGGACACGTTCAATTTACATATGATAAACAATCCAGCAGAGTCTACCAGACTACAACCAAATATGACACCAATATCGATGCCGCATTTTCAAGATATTTGGAAAAAATTACATCACGAACATACGTATCAAATTTCAGTTATCACAGGTATGTAATTTCGATTGTTGAATATGATTAATATAATAGTAATTAAATAGTAATAATAATAATTTTCAGTTACACTTATTTTTCACATTTACTTTTATATTGAATGGTTTCACTAAAATGTATTTTTAATCTATAATATATTTGTTGGAAAAGAAACTTCGTCTCTAACGAGTGTCCCATGACAGCACTCACTTTTTTTTGTTTTTATTTTAATTATATTTCACTATTTCAGTCTATTTATTCTTCATGTCAAAAATATGTATCGTAAATTGTTTAAAGTTAAAAATGTATATCATTCGAATCCAACTTATATGGAAATACTGTACAAAGTATAAACACTATAGTCTATAATTTAGTTTTGGGTTGGAAAATAATTAAGTATTCTAGCGTTGTATAAACAAATTAACTTTTTTTAACTTAATAAAAAGTTAGCAAAAAGTGTGCATTAACTTTTAACTTTTTGTTATTGGTGCATATTAACTTAACTTGACTGATTTGAAAAAAATCATTAACTTGTCCAGCCTTGATTATCAACAAGCTAAACTCATTTTTTGTTCGCATGAGTTTTTTTAATATTTTATAATGTAGTTAAATACTATGCATAATACAAAACATTATTCGTTATTTTATTATTATATTAGGATTTTTTCTGCATAATAACATTCCATTTTTTTTACAATTTTATACAAAATAACAAATTGAAAAATCATTAAATTAGATTTCGCTATCAACTCCATCATTGTTTCTGGTTATTTTCTGTCGTAGACACTGCGACAAAATTGCAATTTTTCAAATCTTTAGTCAATCCAAAACGATTGCTTAGTATGTTTAAAAGGCACATCAAAGCAGAACCGTAGGCGAAAAATCGAAACGACCACACTCCACCGTATGAATAGAATAAATATCCGCCCAGTAGACTACCTAAAGAGTCACCTATAAAAAAAAATCCATTTTAAAATCGTGTTGGCTTAAACGCTTTTATATAATACAAAATCATATTATATGTATACATTATTTTGAAGTATATCATTTGCAGTGCCTAACTATATAGTTAATTGAACATTTTTTGTGTAATATTTTTGTAGTTGGAATTTTTTTAATAAATAATTAATAATTTCAGTATTAGCTGAAAATTCCACCTGCATATTATATGTAATTTAAATATATATTTAAAGTAACCATCTACTAAGCATTATCTAAGATTTTTCATCGGATGGGGAGGGGGGAGATATAGAGATTTTAATAGACCTATTCAGTATACACATATTATATTCATATTATTATATACGTGTTGTATTGTGTACAGAATTTGGTTTTCGGGATACGCCACTGCTAGTAACAACACGTCAACAAATCTTATTTATATAATATTAGGATAGTATAAATTTATTAATATGAACTCGTTTTGTGCAAAATTATTGTGAAGAGATAACAGATTTCTGATAAATGCGTTCGACAATAATACCTTTTGATATTACTTTTGTTGTATTTTTTACATAAAAACCAATTTCATATCTCTATTTCACATTTTGATGTAAATAAAACATTTACACAGATTATGATGAAATATATTATTTATATTATATAATATACATATATTTTTTTTTATGTAATACTAATATAGACTACACCTACACTATTGTAGTAATATATATATATTGAAATGTTACTTTTTATTTAATTTTAGGTTATCTAACAATGGATACATTATATCTATATTTGATTGTCATGCGAGATGCATATGATTATAATTATTATAACACACGTAAGATAATGTAAATTTAAATGATTATATTCTACAACAATTAAGTACTGTATTAGTTGAGTTAGTTAATATACTATAGATTGATTACTATTTATAATTATTATGTATTATATAATAGATGGCCACTTCACACTACAAAATATAAGGTTCTTCAGAAGTGGTATAACAAAAAAAAAAGTTTACCGGAAAGTCATGATTTTTTTTTTTAAGTACCTATTTAAAGTAGGGCTTGCATGGTTATAACTAGAGTCCAGATTTTTATGCAAAAAAATATTTTTAACAAGCGTATGCTGTTTGATGGGAGTAAAAAATATTTGTATTTCATAACCTGTAGAATCTGTCAAAAAAAGTTTTGTTTGCATATTAGTGCATATTTTGACTTCAGAGAATATTTCAGAATATTTTAGTTTATGGTACATATTATAGAATATTTTAGCATATGTTTGCTATATTGGATTATATTAAATAAATATTTTTGAGTTTTGAACTTATTTTTAATTTGTAGTCACTGATTCGATAATTTCCTATGGTCAATATTGTTTGTCATAAATAAATATATTTATAAAGGTACTGATGAAATGAAATACCCTCATGAGGCCACGAGTCTCGAAACTCCAATATTAAAAGTAATAACACTAAGTTATAAACTGGGGACAACAACGTGATACTTCCTCAAGATTTATCTCCTTGTATAGCTACAGACCTGAAAAATGCTCCTACAACGTCTGTCGATGTTGAGAGATCATTCGGCATAGGTATATAAGACAATAATCACGGACCGCCGTACTAACTTTACTCCGGAAAATTTAGAAAAATATATTATTGTTCATTCCTTTAAAAACATTGTATAATTTTTTTTTTATGTTAATGTATTGCATGTAATATAACATATATAACTATATAAGATAATATAGGTAATTATTAATTAATAATTATATAAATAATAATAAATTATAAATTCATAATCATAATTATTTATCATATTGCATGTTTAATATAAGTTATAACTAAATAACAAATAAAAAAGTTTTAAGATATTATTTATATGTTTTGCTTATTAGTTACTATTATCAATATTTTTCAGAATATTTTGAGAATATTAGGAATATTTTGAGAATATTAAGAATATTTTTAGGCATATTTCATAAATTTCAACTGCATATAAACATCATATTTCAAACGTTTTAACAGAATATAAATCCGGACTCTAGTTATAACGTTATATTTGGCAAACAACGATTGAAATTTGTAAACATAATTATAACGGAAAGCGATAATCAAAAATAATTAAATACCGCAAAAAAAATCATAACGAAAAATAAAATATTATATTATAAATCATTAAACAAAACATAACGTAAAACGTAATTTATAGAATAATGTCATTTAACGAAAAAATTGTGTAACGTTTTAATTCAAAATAACATAAAACAGATTTTTTTTTTAAATACAACCCCTGATTTAAAGTTAAAATGTTGACAAAAATCATCAAAAACATCTGAACATTTTTTTGTAGTTAACGATTTGTAAAATATTCAACTTTTATAGCCCAAGCTTGAAATGTTATCACATGATTTATTGGAACTCAAAATATATAAGCACAATATTATTTTTATACTCATTCTAAGTTCGAACTCGGTCAAATTTAGATTTTTAAACAAAGAATAACGATTTTAGTTATTATGTTGTAATTTAAAAATATTGTTCTTGGGAAGTTTATTATTAATTATTATATTCTATACACACAATTACATTTTCAAATGCAATATTTTCGGAAAAAAATACCTAAATACACTATGTATTGTTAATAGATAAATAAACAATTTAATAACAATAATATCATAAAATATACTTTGAAATAAATTTATGTCTTTAGGAAATTTAGGGGAAAAAAATGCTATTATGCCCTAAAAATTCTAAATAAAGCGCTAAAAATTCTAAATAATGCGCTAAAAATTCACTATTTTTTTAAAATTTTTAATCATTTCGATAGCAATAATTCTATTAAAAATGTATTTGGTTTAAATAACGATATATACATTTTAAAGTATTGTAAAAAACGTTTTGCAGATAGAACTCCTTAAAACTCTTTTCGACCAAATATGATAAAATAGTTTCCTCTTTTTCACTTAAAAATAATTGTATTTTTCACGTTCAACATATTGGAAAGCACTGTCTCAAAATTATTTATTTTTGATATCATGGTATAACAAATTTTGAATAATATAGTGTTTATAGGTATGGTATTTACATAAGTTGTTATTGTAATTCTCCACCAATTGGTACGTGGTTGGCTGAAATACAAGAAGTTCAAACTGATTTTTATATTAAATTAAACAGTAGGTTAGGAAAGTAAAAGACCGTTAATTTAAAAACTAAGATAAACAGTATAATAGATCAAATGGAGGAGAGTTAAGCTGGTATGAGTATATTATATTGATACCATTCGACTGGGTACCTATACTGAACATTTTAATTTTAATTAGATCCGTATATGACATAACTTTTTTATAAAACGTCTTAACAAATAATGACAAATACGGTAAATACCTCCTATACCTATCTATATTATTTAATAATTATTTTACAAACACCATACATTTTTGGAGAGTAATAGAAACCGCCTCTTCGGGGTGCTCTACAGTTTACTTATGTGAAATGGCTTTAATAAACTAATTTTGAGACAGTGCTTTCCAAAATGTTGACGAGTAACCGTGGTCAAAAATAATACAATTATTTTCAGGTGAAAAGAGGAAACTATTTAAACGTTATTTGGTCGAAAAGAGGACGTGGGCAAAAGAGTAAAGTGATTTTTGGGCTAAAGGAGTACCGCCCCTAACTGTACAGCAGAGCAGAACGATTTTCCCACCTCTTTTAGATTCTGAGTGGAGCAAAATAATGTATTGGTTTTACAATGATTGTGTATGTTTTTTTTTCTGTCCATCAGCAACATTTCAGATAGTAAGCATGCTTCGGTTTTAGAGATCAGCATCTTTTCTGATAGAAGTTTAGTAAGTGTAGAGTTTCAGTAACCGTCAGTAAACTACCAAAAAATTACGAAAAACCGCTAAAAATGGGATTTTGATTTCTAACGATTTGTTGATCACCATAGCAACAAAGAAAAAAAAATAATATAATCGACTACCCTAACCGCTCAGAATCGTTTTTCGTATGCAATAGTTTATCATTGTATATTTGTATTCAAATATAACACATCTATTACAACTACTGTACTGCAGAGGGGTAGCCATTTGCTATTTTTTTTTTATTATTATTATTTATATTTACAATTATTTTTTATAGAGTTATGAATTGAGAATTATAACGAAACTAAAGCTACTGAGTGGATTTCTTAATTTTTTTTTTTTTTGTAAGAGCATTTTACCTTACAATAAATAAATTGTAAATATCAAATGTAAGAAAAATTGTATAGTTTACCAATGCAATCGAAAAGCGCTATTATTCCGATTATAGTGTTCGTGCTGTCCTCGGGTGACATAATTTTCGCGTACGACATTTTCACCGACAAGCCCAACGCGTACGATACTCCGTTCAATAGCTCTATTGCAATGATCCAAGCTGGATTCCAGATGACTGTGTAAAGGTACATCCTAATGGCCATGGCTCCCAGCACTATGGCCATGCAGTTGATGTGACCCATCTTTCTGATTATCCAACCGGACCAGAAGAAAAATGGTATCTCACCGCCGAAACACTGGATGCCCTGGGCTAGACCTTGGAGCGTCTTAAGCCACGCCCGCTGGTCGTGATCATTGTTAGCAGATACCAAATCCTCCATGTACCTGAAAAATAATTACATATTAACAGTCGTGTTAAAATGTCTTAACAATGAAATATTATTATACGACATACAGTCAGATATTAATTTGCGAAATCTCAAATCGACTTATTACCATACTTGAGGGAATCTATCTGATATCGATGACAATTTCGACACAGCCGTTTTTGAAATTGTACATGGAGAACAATATTGTTCAGTAACCAAGAATAATATTATGTATTATAGTATATAAAATAGGGGCTTCGTCACACTAAACGGTGTGTTCAAAGATAAAGATAACACTAAATATTTTGAAAGCATGACCTTAATTATACTACACTTAATTTGAAACTTTTTTTTGAACTGTACCCCTCTTTTCGTATTGAATTTGAATTACTCACAATTTTTCGTTAGCAACTTTGACTTAAAAAGTTTTTTTCTATCCTAAAAATTGACTTACTGAGAGTGAGCCAAAGTTTTGATTTTTGCATGTTGTATTTATCATATTATTAACAGTCTATTTATAATTTGGTGAAAATAATATAAATTTGCTTTACTTAAGACACCACAACTGAGTTTAAAAATGTCATCCTAAATCACACGGAACATTGTACTATTGTAGAGAGACTAAAAAAATATGATAATTAAAAAAAAATAAAAGCTTTGCCTCTCACTCTCAGAAAGTCAATTTTCTAGATAGAAAAAAAATGTATAAGTCAAAGTTGCATGTAAAAATTATGTAATTCAAATTTAAACTCATAAAAGAGGGTTATAGTTTAAGCATGTGCAGACATTTTTTTTTTTAAACATTTAAGTTTTGTAAAAAATGGTGTAATATTAAACCCTTTATGCAGTAAAAAAAAACCCAAATAAAATTTAACATCATGCGCTCGAAATATTTCGTATTACCTTTATCGTTAACACACTATATAATTATGCGTTTTGGAAGATGATGGGGTCGGCAAATTCAACACAATATTGATATTTGATAAAAAAAATTTGGATTTTAAAATAGAGCTCCTCGGAGTACGAAAAGCGATATTATATTGATGAATAACTGCATTAATATTATGATACACTCGTCTCCTACTATCTTAATACCTATTCTGGGCTATAGATAATTGATACGATATCACGCGTCATGCTTAATTGTGTACTGTTCGATGTTTATTATTTTTATAGTCGTGCCAATTGATATGATACCTACGTGCTACGTATAAATTTTTATTTTATTTTTTAGAATTAACGCCAGTCGGATTTTTACAAAATGATACATAGAGTGTAAATACTGCAATATATATATATAGTAAAAATATTGTTTACATAGGATTAAACTTGAATGACTAAGTACCACCTAAAAAAAACAAAGTGATAACAAACAACAAAGAACAAACAAACAAGCAAAAATGTGTGGTACGTATTAAAAGTATTAAGGCAACTTCGCATTCCAAATTATTCTTGAGAGTGGGGAATTTCTGCAGAAGTTAGACTTATTGTTAGGGGTATAAAAAGAACACTGTAGCCTAGTATTACTGGGAATGCGAAAATCGAGTAGTTCGAGAAGCCTCGGGGCATTGACCTCGACTGAAGTTAATACTAAATTTATCACGCCTATAGCTGAAAGGTAATTGAGGCATTAAGAGTTTGTATAGTATATTATCAAAAAACTATAAAAGTATACTTATACTCAAAACGACTGAAATTTGATGCATTTAATTTTAGAAAAGCGTTTAAATAGAAATTTAAGTTAGAAATTAAAGTAGGTATATAGGTCTTGCCGTCTTCGTATACAAAAATACACTACCAGCTACCTATAAAAATTTATTGGTACTGTTTTGGAAATTTATATTTTTCATTTAACTAATTTTAATTTTTATTCGTTTATTTGTCATGTTTTTCTTCGTACGTTAAAGCTCACTATGACAGAACTGTATTACAAATACTCAGTGTGAGTTGATAATATTTAACTTTAAAAAAAAACAACTTTATTTTGAATTCTACAAATTGACTAATTAGGATTGTACTCGACAGTAATACGACAACAAACATTGAATTTTTTTTTTCATATCTTATTTGTTTATTATATAAGCAGTAAACCTGCCTAAATCAAAGTTTACTTGGCACTCATCCACCGTATTATACGTTCCGTAGTATTATTTCTGTTTACAAAGTGATGAGATTATTATTTTATAAACATGTACTCAATATAAGTAAAAAAAAAACACTAAAAATAACTACTAGTTAATTAATGAAATTTTGCCTGCATTTAAATTGTTCAATTAATCAAAAAAAAAAAAATTAAATTATAAACTCACCAGAATAGAAAATGTGTAATAATCGTATGAAGAAACGAGTTTGTAGCTACCCATATATAAAATACAATCACATAATGTTTAGTAAACAGTCCATAAACACTCTTCCATTTTTCTTTGGATTTTTTCGTTTCGGTTACCTATAGATTACAGGACAATAATATAAAGTGTTTTTTTTTATAAATTGTGCTTAATTGAAAATTAAAAAAATATAGATTATAGTGTATAGGTTAGAGCCAGGAAATAATTACTTACTTTGAGTTTATTGATGACAAATAAATTACAAATTGTGAGTAAAATACACGAATAAAAAACTGGTGAATAATCTTTTTCCTTTTTACCGACGCTAAACCTATCCACAAGCCACCCAATGAATATGGAAAAACCGCCCCAACCAAATGATGACCAACATTTTTGTTTTCCGTAATCCTCGGGTTTGTCTTCTATAAAAACAAAATTAAATGTCATTTTTATTTCAATTACAGAAAATATATCATTGACATAGCGGTATTGGTGTATCATATATTTTACCTAAAATATCGAGACATATTGGGTTTTGTAGAGTTACCGCTATAATTACGCAAGTCCAGAACGCAGACACAGTCATGAAAAAAATCCAAAATTGATACAAATTTAGAACGTTTCCTCTGTACGCCGGCACAGTGGCTATACGCATCATGTCTTTATTAGGACATGAGATGTGGCAAAATGTTTTTAAACCACATTGGCATTTTAGAGGAATTTCCGTACCGTTCATTTGGACCGACGACAAGTAGAAAACATACGAACTTTCGGTCTGAAATCAAATCAATTAAATACTAACAATAGTAGATTCGAATAAAATATTGTGGTAACATTACTCGTTCCATATCTTTCAATTTCAACGTAACATCAATCCGACTACGATCGTTTATACTTTCGATATCACTATTGCAGGTGGTTTTCGTCCAATGATCGCAGAAATCTGATCGATTGTTCGTTGTATTTATTTTGTGGTCGTACGACTTCGTATTTTGACAAGTCAGCTGAATAAGATGAACTACATGTGTATACGTGTTTAAAAATATCTACTGAAATTTAGTGATTTTCACTCTCCTCTGTAGTGATATAAGACGTGAATTAATTAATACGTTGGTACAGTCGTAAAGAGACATAGAGTTGTCTACATTAAATACACTTCATAATATTAATTAATAACAGTGCTTAAATTATTTAATATATATATATATAGTTTTTACGTTTTCGGATATTTAAACGTTATACAGTTTTTCAAACCTTATTTGATTTTTTCAGTTTATTGTTTTTATATTTTTAAACTTTATTTTAATTATTGTTTTCTGTTTAACGTTTAATAATTCATTTTTTTTTATATAAATTATATTGTTATTTTTAGTATGAATAGGTAATCAACTACACTTTTATGTAAGAACTATCAAATTAGTAGAATGTATTGTCCATGATAGGTTATATTTTCAATCATCCTTAAGGTTTTTAGAAGTAGCTATAAGTGGCAAGTTAGTGTAGTTTAGGTGTCAGATATTGGTTAAATATTATGGCATGAATGATAGATGAAATAATAGATTTTATTAAAAAAATAATATTTATAACAATAATACAATTTAAATGGCATAATAATATTAATGTTAAACAAGTATTTAGTAGGTAGGTAGGTACACGATAGGTAGGAGCTTACACCAAACAACGCACTTTGTAGATTTGTATCGTATTTCAATTTGAATTGCAGAAATAATCTAATATTCTATTAAATTAAATATTAATAAATCAAACAGGGATAAAGTATTTAAAAAATATAAACTACTGTTAGGTACGTTTTTATTTTGTACGTTAGCCAACTTTGAATTGTTCATAGTTATAACTTATAACATTCGTACTTATATAAGTAGACTAAAATATTTAAAAACAATAGTATAATGTTAAGTTCAACGTAAAAAAAAGCACAAACGTTATTTGAAATTTTTTATGTTACATATTTTATTGTTCATTCTTAATCATTAATTATGATTTATGATATTATGATATATTATATTAATGACACATTATGTATTATTTTTCATGATATTAGATTACTTCCGTTTATTTTTTTCATTATTTTCCTTTATAGGGTTATAGAAAACGTTTTGAAGTGTTGGACTTAATAATAACGTTAAACAATTTTAAGCTCAACAAAATCAGTTTAGCCTGTGCATAATAATTCCTCAACGTAATTTTAATTTTAGTTAATATTCGTTAGACGCCCAGTACATTTTATTGTTTTTAATTTTGGCACACTAACACAAATTTTAAACGACTGCTCACCGCAGAAATGTACGATCATTATTCAACACTTGTTCAAACAAAACCGTTCCAAGCCCATACACACATTTTAATATTTTTCATCGTATTGTTTAGTCTCACCTTGCATGTGATCAATTCGTCATTGTTCTCGTCATTAAAACTCGACGTATTCTGCTGTGCAGTATCGGAATGAACGATCATAATAATTTCAGATTCGCATTTCATTTCCACGCCCATCTCCAAAGGCACTTTTGGTACAAACATGAAGGAAAACGAAAACACGCCCATCAATAGTGTCATCGTAAAAAATAGCGTTTTTTTCACGCGGAACCTGTCGACGATTACACCGGCTAGAGGTGCCATTATCATCGATATCATCGACATAACAGTCATAACGACACCGTATGTGGTTATCGAGTACCCCAATTGTTTCGCTATCGTAGGTAAAAATCCAATTATAGGACCTAGACCTGTGCGAAATGAAAACATTCAATTATTAACTAAAAAAAAAAATGACACGCAGAAAATTATGTTTTTTTTGTCAAATTATTATGTAATAATAGGTAGGAACGTAGTACATACAAATAATATATCATTAATAATTAATAAAATAACACATGAGATATTTATATTAGATTATGTACAACTTCAAAAAAATGTTCATACATTTCTTTCAGGTATAATATTGTTCTCTATACAATTAACGTAAGACATGAAAATCGGTTTGGTTGATTTATTTTCAAAAAAAATTTGAAAGCATCAATAAATACTTTTTTAAAGTATGTATTTGTATTTGTACTTGTATATTTTTTTTTTTTGCTGAGTACTCAAATACGTATTTTAAATAGTTTTCTAAATAAGCAAGGCTGGGCAAGTAAAAGATTTTTATCAACTCGTTAAGTTAAGTTAAAAGTAAACTTTAAAAAAAAAAAGTAACTTAACTAAGTGTAAAGTTAAAATTTGCTAATTTTCAAAAATAAAAAATCCTAGACACATAATAGGTTTATTAGATATTTTTTCTTTACGCTCAAGACAATTACTGGGGAAATTTAAAATGATACATTAAAGTAAAAACCCATTCACAAACCTGCATTATTCTTCGGACGAAAATTAACTTAGTTTGGATACTTTTGAAATAAAAATGACTTGAAGTTAGCACTTTAATCTTGTAAAAAAGTAACTTCCTAAGTTAAAAATTAATTTGAAAAAATAGTAACGAGTTAATTAACTTAACGTTTTAACTTTTAACTCGTTATGCCCAGCCTTGGTCAAATAAGACGTAACTGTATTTGTGCTTGAATACCGTTAAAAAGTTAACAATTTATAATTAAATAATTATGAAATTTTATTAGAATACTTCAAAATAATATTCGTACAATTTTTTCGTTCCTAAACTAAATTGTTCAATTTCGTATTCAATTAAAACCAGCATGTTAGGCATGAATCATAACAGTGTTTTAATAATAGTTATGTTTACAAATGTTCGTATAAATACTAATTAGAACACTATTATATTGATCATTCGTCTAGACTCGAACAAAACAAACATCATCGCCGAATCAGTGATCACGTGACACGGTATGATAATATATTATTATAAAATATTAACACAAGCCGAGAGTAATAGGACAACAATAATTTTTGTAGGATATTGTGCGTAAAACACGTGTTCAGTTATCTCGATTCAACGGATTTGATAAAAACACTTTTACATGTTATGGAAGTGGGTATGCTCTTTAATGATATTATTATTATTAAATACACGCTGTGTAATAATATTATTCGGTTTGCGTTGTCTCAAGGATCACGACAAAATTTTTTTCCTCAAATTTTTGTCTCAGTTAACCACTTGGTTTTTTTTTCAAAAATACATTAATACCTATTGAGTAAAGTACCTGTGTATTATGAATAAATTGCCAATAAAAGCTACACAATATTACCAATTTATCGATTTAGTTATGGCCCAATATCCATCTTAACGTTTTTATTTTGATTTTGAGTGAAACGATGAATGTATTGATTTTACAATGATGTGTGTGTTTTTTTTTTTAATTTTTAATTTTTTTTTTTTGTGTCTGTCATCATGTTTTAGGAGAGTAAAAATACTAAGATTTTCTTCAACAATATCTTTTCTCATAGAAAAGTGAATCTAGATTGTGTATTTTAGGGGGTCAAAAGTAAAAATTTCACAGTAGTTTCAAAAGCGAATTGAAAAAACAAAAGAAAATTAAGAAAAGACGGGAATTTGTACGCAAAATCTGTTTTCGAAAAATCGATTTTGGTTTTTAGTGCAACTCTTAAACAAATGACCTTAGGTACGTGCAATATTGACTGAATATTTATTTTAGCATTTTCTATACACCGTAACATTTTCCAAATATTTTGACTTATTTTGAGCCCTTTACGGACATTTTCAGTTTCAATTTTTTTTATTTTTTTTCTATAAATATCAATAAAATTTTATTTGTTGGTTAAAAAAGCTTGAAAATTTAATAGAAGGCTCCTAGTATATTGTTTCAAAGTCAGATGAAAAAAAATTAAAAATCCATAGTCACAATTTTTTTTATAAGCATTTAAAGTTAAAATATTGACAAAATACATAAAAAATGACGAAAATTCCCAAATTATTTCGAATTATAAGTTCATAAAAAATTTTCTTTTTAAATCTAATATTTGAAAATGTAATACAAGATTCCTCATAAGTTTTCTACCTTTATTAAAAATAAAAATGTCTACAAGAAAATCAAATTAAATTTTTATGAGGGTTTGAAATTCATATTTTACTACATTTGATATTCACTCAATTTCTCATGTAATGATTTTCGTATTTTGTTGTAATTAAAAAACGAATGACTATAGATACTTGAAAATTTCACTGAATGTTTATATTAGCATTTCCTATACACCAGTGAGTGAGTGAGTACCTAAATAAATTATTAATTTATAATGTACAAAAGTAAGTAGATAGGAATTTTAGCCAAGGACTCAATAGTGTACTTTCCGTACTAACCATTGTCACAATGCTTAATTAATGAATCGGTATTATAAAAGTGTGGTTACATATATCTATTTATAATTTGTTTATTTATTTTTTATTAAAATCATTAGCTTAAGGGGGCTTTACAGTGAAATCAGTTGTCTCTGTCTTACAAGTGCGCAACTTTTACGCTCAGCAGAACACATTTATCTCCGTTATTAAAAAATTAAAGAGAATTGAATTCTTATAAAATTTAAAGGTAAGACTATCATCTAGACAATGACATAGGCTTTTTATTATAATTTAATTTTAAAGCGAGTTATGTGTATTTTAAGATGTACAAACAGTTTACAATTTTAAAATACACATAACTCGCTTTAAAATTAAATTATAATAAAAAGCCTATGCCATTGTCTAGATAATAATCTTTTCTTACCTTTAAGGGGGCTTCAACGTAGCATATTTTAAGGAGTACTATTTAGGCAATTCATGTGACAAATAAATTAATACTGTATCTATGTGTGAGTAGTAAATGAACAATAGTGTGCGAAATCTTCTAAGTGTTTCAGAGAATCGCTGTCACGTCGAGTCGGGCAACCGCGCTCGAAGCAACTCTCACACGCGCACGCACATGACAATATATCGCGAAAAATGAAATATATTTTTGTTTGCATGACTATAAAAACTACTAAAAGCTATAGTAAATTAATCATACTTCCCGAAGTTCAATTGTAATTTTGAAAAAATGGTTGAACTTCTAGATCTAGACGATGCTTCTTAGGAATCACTTTTTTTTATTTAAAATCAGATATGCCCAAAATTTTTTTTTTATGTTTATCCTATAGACGAAACTTTAAACTATTTAATTCAAAAGCTGGCCAGTTTATGAAATAATTATCTCGAGTTCAGTTTAGTTAAGAGAACACAAGATCGATAAGTTAGAATTCAACAGTTGAAAAATCAAAAATTTAACTCAGTATAAGGTGTGTATCATAACATGAAATACCAAAAGTAACTGTAACCAATAACTGTTTGTACAAAAAAGAGGTTATTACAAGTAGGTTTTATATGTCAAATAAATCTCTAATGTTATCTCTAATGTACTAAAAATGTTGGCCCGCGATGGGAATGCGTAGGTATATCAAATTTGACCAGCCAAAAAAAAATGTTTGGAGACCCCGGGTTTAACTAGTTAAGAGGGGACACATACTAGTTGCGGACGAATTATTCAGGTTAGGAATTATAATATAACAATTGCGGACACAAGCTTCGTTGTCATAATACTAATTGCGTACAGAGCTTTTTTTAATAAAAACTACGTTAGTTGTGGACACAAATATTTCCCTTCATCAATTTTTCAGAACATATGACAATAGCTAAAAAAAAAATTGGTAGGTGGGGTTAAAAATATTTGTGTCTTGCAAAAGAGCAATCGTTTTTTTTGAAATGTTGTTGAATTATAGATTGTTTTAATTTTGTGGAAAAAATAGTTTATAAAATATTTATAGATTATCGTCATTATTAATTATCGTCATAGTTTATAAAACAGCCTGTATATATGATATATAAATTCTACTGATTTCACCACGTGAATATTGTAACATTATCCGCAATTAGTATCTTATATTTGTGTCCGCAATTCGTATGTTACCTTTTTAGATTTCGTCCGCAACTCACATGGTTTTTGTCACTATGTCCGCAATTCGGAAACACCATTAAGAGGACGTTACAGTGCCATTTGTTAAAAATTAGAGTGAATTGACCTCTTATAAAATGTAAAGGTAAGATTATTGTCTAGACAATGACATAGGCTTTTAATTGTATTTAAATTTTATAGCGAGTTGTGTGTATTTTAAAATTGTAAACTGTTTGTAAATCTTAAAATACTCATAACTCACTTTAAAATTTAAATATAATAAAAAGCCTATGTTATTGTCTAGATAATAACCTTACCTTTACATTTTATACGAGGTCAATTCACTCTAATTTTTAAACTAAAGGGAGATAAACGTGTTCTGCTGAGCGTAAAATTTGGTATGTTACTTACTTGTAAGACGGAGAAAACAAATGTCACTGTAACGGCCTAGTTAATGCCTAGTTAATAAAAATAAATTGTATCACGATAAAAAAAAATTTGAAAACCATTATAATTTTGCTATCGAAAAATTGGCAATCCTGTTAACTAATTTTTAAGTAAATGATTATTTCCCAAACCGTAGGATCAACTTTTTGATTTTTAGATGTATTTTATATAATTTATTGTAAATATTACGTATTTTAAACTTCTGAGTTCAGGATTTTTATTTTTAATCTAGAATTGATTTTTTACTTTACCAATGCACTTTTAAAATGTAGAGGAATTTTAATTTTTAATTTGCATGTAAATTATAATCAGGTATTATAATTTTAATTTAAATATCAAAAATAATTCATTTTAAAACTTTGATTTTAACGACATTGATTTATGATTTTTTGTTATTAACAAAAAAAAAAAAATCATATCGTAGAAAAATTTGGCACATCCACTATTACTTAAAAACATAATTTTAAACTGTCTGTAGTGCACCTAATCATGATTATAGGCATTTGGTATTTTCGAATTACTTAATTTTTTTTATTAATGCTTATTATTAAATGATCAGTCGAAAATCTAGAAAGTCCAAAAAAGTTAATTAGTTCTAACTACATGTGGATATTAAAAATATTATAAAGAAATTTCATTATACGCGTTTGAAGTTCAGACTTGGACAGAATTCGTCAAAATCCCAAAAAATTTGCAAATTTTTTTTTATAGGCATCAAAGTTTTTGAATATTTAACTGAAAAATAACGATTGTAGTCATTTTGTTGTAATTCAATAACTACTAAAAACTTAAAAAACTTAAGAATTTAAAGAACTTAAAAAAAAATTATTCGCTAATATAGGTAGGTACGTATTTGCATTATTATTCAATATTTATTAAGCACGAAGACATTTTCAAAATATTTACTTACATTTTTAGCTATTATTAATCCACAAACCTATTCACACACACAAAAAAAATTGTTTTTCCTATAAAATGATTTATTATTGAATTAAAATTTTGAACACATCCTCTACAGTGATAGGTCACTGTATCAATGACGAGATACAATCTACTGCAGCAAAGCAACTTTTCCAGTTATTTATTTTTCAAATGTTGTCATTGCTTCAAAACCAAAAATATTTCTAATTAAATCAATATGCTTGGGTACTTACATCCCATGTGAAAGAAATAATTCAATTTTATTGGTATACATTTTTTGTTCACATTTAAATTGAACATCTTTAAAATGTGTAATTTAAACTTAATTTAATTATTAATCACAATTAAAACATTTTTATATCATAACTATAAACTAACTAAAAACATTTACGGCACTTTTTGTAAAAAAAATATGTGTTCATCATCAAGACGAATGAAATTAACAATTCCTTAAAATATAAGTTTATATTCTGCAGAACACGTTGGTTCCTATCCATACTTTAACATGGTATAACAGGTAGGAAGGTAATGACATCAGTGGAAATTAATAATATTATTAATGAAAACAATATCAAGTGGATGTACATTTGATTGCATTTTTAATTCCTATAATACCTTTTTTTTTTATTCATTTGATTTTAAGATACACTATTATACATTTTTATAAATAAGTGAATAATAATTCTAAATAAAATATAGCCGTCCTTTAGTTTATAAATCATAATCGCAACGATAACAAAATGTAGGCAATTGTTCTTAGAATAAGCTTAAAATTAATCCCATATTATTGATATTTATTGGATTTAATGCTTCTAAAGTCATTCTGCATTGTTCGGAAATAACAACATGTGGATATCAATATAATCTGTTAACGTGTATTTAACGAACGTTACCCCGGCCCCCCCCAATTCGATTTTTGCAATTTTTTTTGCGCCAATTTTTAGTGCTCAATTCCTGCCAATTCCTGCCGCAAACCCCGGAATTCCTGCTCTAACGGTTTTCCCGGAAAGTCGAATTTTCCACGGGTGGGGCTGGGGTAACGTTACCCCAGCCCCACCCACCTTCAAAATTTGACTTTTTGCAATTTTTTTTGCGCCAATTTTTAGTGCTCGATTCCTGCCGATTTTTGCCGCAAACCACGGAATTCCTGCTCAAAAACCACCCCCGTAAAAATTAAAAAACTATATTTGCGGCGGGGGAAACGTTTTCCAACCCCCCAAGGTCGGAATTCGACCTTTTTAACTTTTTCCAACGCCAATGTTTAGTGCTCAATGCCTGCCAATTCCTGCCGCAAACCCCGGAATTCCTGCCCAAAAACCGCTCTCGTAAAAATTAAAAAACTATATTTGCGGCGGGGGAAACGTTTTTCCAACCCCCCAAAGTCGGAATTCGACCTTTTTAACTTTTTCCAACGCCAATGTTTAGTGCTCAATGCCTGCCAATTCCTGCCGCAAACCCCGGAATTCCTGCTCTAACGGTTTTCCCGGAAAGTCGAATTTTCCACGGGTGGGGCTGGGGTAACGTTACTCCAGCCCCACCCACCTTCTAAATTTGACTTTTTGCAATTTTTTTTGCGCCAATTTTTAGTGCTCGATTCCTGCCAATTCCTGTCGCAAACCCCGGAATTCCTGCTCTAACGGTTTTCCCGGAAAGTCGAATTTTCCACGGGTGGGGCTGGGGTAACGTTACCCCAGCCCCACCCACCTTCAAAATTTGACTTTTTGCAATTTTTTTTGCGCCAATTTTTAGTGCTCGATTCCTGCCGATTTTTGCCGCAAACCACGGAATTCCTGCTCAAAAACCACCCCCGTAAAAATTAAAAAACTATATTTGCGGCGGGGGAAACGTTTTCCAACCCCCCAAGGTCGGAATTCGACCTTTTTAACTTTTTCCAACGCCAATGTTTAGTGCTCAATGCCTGCCAATTCCTGCCCAAAAACCGCTCCCGTAAAAATTAAAAAACTATATTTGCGGCGGGGGAAACGTTTTTCCAACCCCCCAAAGTCGGAATTCGACCTTTTTAACTTTTTCCAACGCCAATGTTTAGTGCTCAATGCCTGCCAATTCCTGCCGCAAACCCCGGAATTCCTGCTCTAACGGTTTTCCCGGAAAGTCGAATTTTCCACGGGTGGGGCTGGGGTAACGTTACTCCAGCCCCACCCACCTTCTAAATTTGACTTTTTGGAATTTTTTTTGCGCCAATTTTTAGTGCTCGATTCCTGCCAATTCCTGTCGCAAACCCCGGAATTCCTGCTCTAACGGTTTTCCCGGAAAGTCGAATTTTCCACGGGTGGGGCTGGGGTAACGTTACCCCAGCCCCACCCACCTTCAAAATTTGACTATTTGCAATTTTTTTTGCGCCAATTTTTAGTGCTCGATTCCTGCCGATTTTTGCCGCAAACCACGGAATTCCTGCTCAAAAACCGCCCCCGTAAAAATTAAAAAACTATATTTGTGGCGGGGGAAACGTTTTTCCAACCCCCCAAGGTCGGAATTCGACCTTTTTAACTTTTTCCAACGGCAATGTTTAGTGCTCAATGCCTGCCAATTCCTGCCGCAAACCCCGGAATTCCTGCTCAAAAACCGCCCCCGTAAAAATTAAAAAGCTATATTTGCGGCGGGGGAAACGTTTTTCCGACCCCCCAAAGTCGGAATTCGACCTTTTTAACTTTTTCCAACGCCAATGTTTAGTGCTCAATGCCTGCCAATTCCTGCCGCAAACCCCGGAATTCCTGCTCTAACGGTTTTCCCAGAAAGTCGAATTTTCCACGGGTGGGGCTGGGGTAACGTTACTCCAGCCCCACCCACCTTCAAAATTTGACTTTTTGCAATTTTTTTTGCGCCAATTTTTAGTGCTCGATTCCTGCCGATTTTTGCCGCAAACCACGGAATTCCTGCTCAAAAACCGCCCCCGTAAAAATTAAAAAACTATATTTGTGGCGGGGGAAACGTTTTTCCAACCCCCCAAGGTCGGAATTCGACCTTTTTAACTTTTTCCAACGGCAATGTTTAGTGCTCAATGCCTGCCAATTCCTGCCGCAAACCCCGGAATTCCTGCTCAAAAACCGCCCCCGTAAAAATTAAAAAGCTATATTTGCGGCGGGGGAAACGTTTTTCCAACCCCCCAAAGTCGGAATTCGACCTTTTTAACTTTTTCCAACGCCAATGTTTAGTGCTCAATGCCTGCCAATTCCTGCCGCAAACCCCGGAATTCCTGCTCTAACGGTTTTCCCAGAAAGTCGAATTTTCCACGGGTGGGGCTGGGGTAACGTTACTCCAGCCCCACCCACCTTCAAAATTTGACTTTTTGCAATTTTCTTGCGCCAATATTTAGTACTCAAAACCATAATATATGACAATATTAAATATTATTGGCGTCATTTCACTTTTTGTTAGACTAGGGCAACAATGCAACATGTCACAGATTCGCCACTCAACATTTTTTTTACGTACATATTCCTATAGCATAATAATTCTTACTTGTATAAAGTACCCACTTTGCAGAGAGACATTGGTTAAAATAAAAATACTATCCTATTGATACGTAGCTTAAGTCAGATTGATAATTATGCCTTACATATTATAATAAAATAATTTAAAAGGAAATTTATATTCTATAGATTAGTTTTTTTCAACTGTATTCTTCATCTAATTTATTTTCAAAGTCCAATATGTCAAAAATACAACCGGGTTCTTATTATTTTGGAAATTTAGAAAATGTAGAATGTAGATATTTTAGTGTAAAAAACATTTAATCCATAAGTCATAGTCATTATACTACAATTTTCAGTCTTCTTCTTCTTGTCGTATCGGTCTTCATATTCCCTTCGCTCCCCAGTAAGCCGCAATTTGTATTGCTTTGTCTGAAATTTTATGCGTCAAAAAATCTTCCTTTCTACACTTATTCGGTAATTGTGGGCATACAAACAGATGGTCCGCATCCTGCTCTCCACCACATTCGCATTTCCCATCATCTTTCAATCCCCATTTTTTCATATTACTCGCTGTCCTTCCAGTTTCCGTTCGTAATCTATTCAGTGTCTTCCATACCGACCATGGTAAGTGACTTCCGGTCGGTAAGCTTTCCTTCGGATCCTTCCATAGCAGTGAGTTATGCTCTTTCATTGCCTCCTTCCATAAGTCTATTCTCGTTGCTTCAGGTGTTTGTGATAGGCTAATTGTTGTCTTCAAAAAATTTTTCCTTGATTTGAGCCGGCTCCCCATGGTTTTACCTCCATATAGAGGATGTCTTAAGTCTGATTCTTGTTTTGTTTTCTCTATCCTTGCTGCCACCTCTCGCCTTATATTAGGGGGTGCTATACCGCATAATACTTGTACTTTCTGAACTGGTGTTGGTCTCAGGCACCCCGTAATTAATCTGTTAGTTACATTTAGGGCCACGTCTACCTTTTTAGCATGTGCTGAGTTTCTCCATGCAGCACAAGCATATTCACCCGTCGAGTAACATAGTGATAAGGCTGTCGTTCTCAAGACATGAGGGTCTGCGCCCCATTGAGAGCCAACCAGTTTTTGAAGCAAGCAGTTTCTTGTTCCTATTTTATTTTTTGTGTTTTCACAATGACTTCTATATGTCAGGGCTCGGTCAAGTTTAATGCCTAAGTAGGTTGGTTCTTCGCAATGCTCTAATTCTGTGTCTTGCCAATTAATTCTCAGTTTCCGCTTGGCGTCTCTGTTTCGTAAGTGGAAAGCGGTAATTTGTGTTTTTGCTGGATTCGGTTTGAGGTAATTATCATTATAATATTCCTTCATAGTATTAAGTGTGTCATTCAGATTCACTTCCACCTCTTCGAATGTTTTGCCCTGGGTTGTAATAGCGAGGTCATCAGCGTATATAAAGTGCTTCGTTTGGGTCCCAATTGGTTGATCATTAGTATAAATATTAAATAAAATTGGTGATAGAACACTCCCTTGGGGTAATCCATTATTTTGTCTTCTCCATCTGCTCTTTTTGGCCTGCAATGATACAAAAAACCGTCTATTCCTTAATAAAAGACTAATAATTTTTGTGAATTTCGCATCTTCAGTTAGCTCATATATTTTCTTAAGCAGTAATCTATGATTAACCGTATCATATGCAGCGCTGAGGTCGATAAAAGCTGCACCTGTTATTACATTATTCTCATAGCCTTTCTCTATTTCTTCAACAAGGTTAAGTATTTGCCCCGTGCATGACTTACCAGCCCTAAAGCCAGCTTGTTGCTTGATTAGTTTCCCGTCTATCTTGTCTTTTATTCTATTCAGTACCATTCTCTCAAACATTTTATATGTATGACATAATAGTGACACGGGTCTAAAGTTACTTGCATCTGTAGGGGCTTTTCCAGGCTTCAATAATGCCACAACATGTGATTTGAGCCATTCTGTTGGGATACTATCGGTTTTGATACAGTTATTGAACATGTTTAGTAGCCATTCCTTGGCTTTGGGGCCTAGTTGCTTGATCTGTTCTGTCATGATTCCGTCGATGCCCGCTGCTTTCCTATTTTTCATTACTCCGATGGCCATATTTAGCTCATCCATCTCGAATGGTTTATTGAAGTCACTTGTATTATTCTTTATATCCATTTTAAATTTAAGCTTAGTTTTCTTCCCTTTTGTCTTCGTTTTCCCATTCATTAATAATTTGTGTGCAATTTGGTCTGGTGTTATGTTTATACATATGCTCTTTCGGTTGTTGTTTTTCATTGTTCATGCTTTTTATTAGTTTCAGTATTTACAATTTTCAGTATTTAGTTGTATTATTGGTGCATTTCCATATCTAGGTAAGTTTTGATTTTAAAAAATATTAAAAATGTATAATATTGTTATATTGTAAATTAAGTATTGTTCTTTTACATAATGATTTTTATACTAAAAGTAGGCAATTGACCTAATTTATATTAGTTAATAAATAATAAATTTATGTTATTTTCATCAATATTATTTTTTCTAAACCTGAAACTTAAAAATATTGACCACAGATTTTATCATTAAATACACCATTAATAAGTTTTTCTAAAACTATTACATGATCAGTTTAAAATTTTAAATGTTTGATTTTTAATTTTAAATCGTTTAAATTATTTGTGGTAAATATGTACTTTATTGGTCCAGTACTTATTTTGTGAACGGATTTTTAAATGGTTGGTCCTAACAATACTGTGCGACTGTGCTTTTTTAAAAAAAAATATATAAAATACTGTTTTTGAGGTTTTTGTTTTTTTTTAAAATGCGGTTTTTGAGCAGGAATTCCGGGGTTTGCGGCAGGAATTGGCAGGCATTGAGCACTAAACATTGGCGTTGGAAAAAGTTAAAAAGGTCGAATTCCGACCTTGGGGGGTTGGAAAAACGTTTCCCCCGCCACAAATATAGTTTTTTAATTTTTACGGGGGCGGTTTTTGAGCAGGAATTCCGTGGTTTGCGGCAAAAATCGGCAGGAATTGAGCACTAAAAATTGGCGCAAAAAAAATTGCAAAAAGTCAAATTTTGAAGGTGGGTGGGGCTGGAGTAACGTTACCCCAGCCCCACCCGTGGAAAATTCGACTTTCCGGGAAAACCGTTAGAGCAGGAATTCCGGGGTTTGCGGCAGGAATTGGCAGAAATTGAGCACTAAACATTGGCGTTGGAAAAAGTTAAAAAGGTCGAATTCCGACCTTGGTGGGTTGGAAAAACGTTTCCCCCGCCACAAATATAGTTTTTTAATTTTTACGGAGGCGGTTTTTGAGCAGGAATTCCGTGGTTTGCTGCAAAAATCGGCAGGAATCGAGCACTAAAAATTGGCGCAAAAAAAATTGCAAAAAGTCAAATTTTGAAGGTGGGTGGGGCTGGAGTAACGTTACCCCAGCCCCACCCGTGGAAAGTTCGACTTTCCGGGAAAACCGTTAGAGCAGGAATTCCGGGGTTTGCGGCAGGAATTGGCAGGAATTGAGCACTAAAAATTGGTGCAAAGAAAATTGCAAAAATCAAATTGGGGGGGGCCGGGGTAACGTACGTGTGTATTTAGGTTTATTCGCATTACAGAACATAGTGAAGTCTCCATTATGTGAGTATAGTTATTACCTACTCCAACATTTATTGTTTCTTTTGTTTATTAATGATCATGAACAGTCGACTACAGGTAGGAGGAAATTGGAACAAATACTTTTATAATTCGATTTCTATAGCCTGTCGATAGATTTGTTTTTGATCGCACTATAAATATTTTGTTTGTTTTGCAAATAATGTGAGTAAGGCAACCTAACATTAAATTGAATTTTATTGAATAAAAATTTCCAATTTTATAAATTATCAAATTATCAACTCAACCATTTTACAACCAAACATCCAGTGGCGTATAATGAAACTTGGTGGCCCTGGGGCCTATAAAAGTTGGAGGCCCTCTCTAGTGTAAAAATTAAATAGTGATTTTATGAGGTAAAAAAAAATGCATGTAAATTTACCTGTATTATTTTACTGCTGATAAATTTATAAAAACAATGACGTTAAAATATTAAGTATTATATTATATAATATAATTAAAAATTAACTTTTCTAGCCTTCACTTGAGCAAACTTGTCAATTACTTCATCCAAATTTAATTGCTGTGCCCACTTATTTTCGATGGAAATAATTGACAAACCACTCAGCTGTTCCTCTGACATCGTGCTTCGTAAATAATTTTTTATTATTTTTAGTTTTGAGAACGATTGCTCTGCCGCCGCCACAGTTATAGGTAGCGTCAAGTATAAAATAAAAGCAGTGCATACATCAGGATATGTTGTTGTAAAAGGAGAATGTTCAATAAATAACATTTCTGCAATTTCTTTTGTTAACTTTAACTTTATGGATATTATATTATATTTTCTTACGTGTGTAAGACGAAGATAATATATAGGATAAGATGTAAGATAAGATATATGTATATGTTATTATATTTATATATATCTAAAAAGAAGGATTAAGTCCAAAAGATGTAATTACCTTACTTTTTAAAACGAAAAATTAATTCGTTAATTTCACGTTAATTAAAAAATTAATTTAGGAAGTTAAAAGTTTAGTTAATGAAAAGCCAAAAGTAACTTGTTAAGTTAAAAAGTTTAAATTAAATTAACATTTTTACTTTTTAATGCCCAGCCTTGATTAGATACATGTGTCAATATGAAAATTTCTAAAAAATATTACATATTTGTCCTCTGTAGTTATTATATTTCCTAGTTGGTTGTTAATTTATATTTTATCATAGTAAAAAAATATTTAAATTTTACATCACTCAGCTTGTGTATAACAAATACACAGGCAAAACAATATCAGTATAAAATATATTATGTACATTCTACCTATTCTTAAAATTGGTTGTTCAGTACATCCAACTTACATTTTATCAATTTTTTTTTTTTTTTATAGTACAATATACAAAATACACTACAGTATAAACATTCAACAGGTGCATGAAAAGTAAAAAAAAATATATAAGAAACGGGCTTTGTTCAAACATTTTAGTACCTAAACACTATAAACATTTACATTATTATAAACTATAACTTAAAATCGCCAACTTCTGGCTGACATCTGCGAGAAGTTGTCTTAATATTTATATTTTTCGAAAAACGATTTATCATCTGATTAACAATGATTTGTACGATACACGTGATTAGCACAAGCACACTTAATAATTTAAAGGATGAAATGCTTCCGATAATTTGGAACATGTAGCCACCAATGAGGCTTCCAATGGGTGTTCCTAAAACAAAACGATTTCGTTTCGATACAATAACCAAATGGTTGTACACATGTGATGCGATCATATAGTTCAGAGGTATTCAAACTTTTTCATCCCGTGGCTTCTTTGTGTGTTCACAAAATGTTTACTGCTCCCAGATTGTTATGGGAAAATTGAAACAATACGGATAAAATACGTATATGGGCAATATGGGTGATAACTTGATCACAGTTTGAATACCTCTGATCAAGCCTGGGCAAGTTAATGATAATTTTTAATTGAGTTAAGTTAAGTTCATAAAAAACATTTTAAAAAGTTTATAGTTATTAGCAAATACTATAGGTTAGAATACTGGAAGCTTATAGGATTTCTGGGGACACAATAGTGCTCTATTTCAATATTGGTTGCCTATTCAATCCCTTATTTTGTTTTATGTATTTTGATTTATGTGATATTATAATTAATTATGATAAGTAATGAATTTAATAAAATAACAATTATACAATACCTAATACAATTTTAATCACAGACTACTAGACTACTAGTAGTCCGTGATTTTAATTCAATATTTCAATATTTATATTACAATTTATAAAAGTATAACATTATCAATTGTATCACTCATGAAAGTGAATACTGAATATTGCTGTTTTTTTTTAACATAATAATAATAAAAATAATAATGATTCTATGCATATCTATGATAGATATTTAGTTCATATTTTGGCTGCCTATTATTTGTACCTATTAGTTTTTTTCAGATTACCAGTTAAGGGAATTTAATGAAATTAAGCGCCATGTCTCTGGTAGTTTTCTACAGAGCTTCCAGTATTCTAATCTATAGTAATTGTTAAAAGTTATCTTAATTTTTTTCTTAACTCAGTGAAGTTAATAGTTATATGGAAACTTACAATTAACGTATAAATTTAAGTAAAGTTATTTTTTAAAATTGTATTAATAGCCAGTAATATTATTGTTTAAAATAATAAAAAGTAAATGTTTATGCAACATGTGTCATCAATAATAATTGTATTGTATTATATTTATTATTTAATTATTTATAAATTATAAATTATCGTAACTTGGATTTAATTAAAAGTAACTCGTTATTTATTAAGTGTATATTAATACAAATCAGTTAAGTTAAAATTTAAGTTAATGAAAATTAAATTTCAAAAGTTAAGTTAAAAAGTTAGAACTAACTTAACTTTAACTTTTTAATTTGTTTACACCCAGGCTTGCCTCTGATATAATTGAAAAAAAAAATCTAAGCAGAAGTCGTAGGACAAACCTATTCCCGTCAACGCTGTCCCGACGATTCCTTGAAACGTTCCTTCGGCACCGACAGGAGCTGAAAGATGCGCATATGAGATGGCTCCAGAGTAGAAAAGTGCGAACCCTACGCCACTGAGTATCTCCACTGGTAAAACGTAAACGGGGTTTTTGATGATTGAAAATAGGAAAAATATCAAGGCGTACACGAAGAACATTATGGAAAAGACGTTCATGTGACCAACGCGTTTCAGTATATAACCTGCGGAAAAGGAAAAAAATAATATCATTTATTAGTTTCGAAACTGTTTTACACGATCGTCGAACCAAGCCTGGATTAAGTGGGGCAATAGGACACGGGGCCCATCTTAATCCCCGAAATATATATTTTTTCAAAACAGTTTTCAAAAAAATGAAATTATTTTATTTCCTATACATTAGCAAGCCTGGGAAACTTAATGATATTTTTTTACTGATTTAAGTTAAGTTAATGGAAAACATTTTAAAAAGTTTAAAGTTAGCAGTTAACCTAATTTTTTTTTTAACTCAGTTAAGTTAAAAGTTATATTAACATTTTCAACCAACTAGTTAACTTTGGTTAATTTAAGTTTTTTTTTTTATAATATCTATAAAAATACCTAGCAATATGGTTTAAAATAATAAAATCATAAATATTATTGAACACAGGAAATAACCAATAGCTTTTCTATACATAGGTACTGAATTAATAGAATTATGTAGTAGGTACCAAAATCATAAAAAATTGAAAATTCCGAAACAAATACAATATTTTGATTTATTAATACAGATAAATTTTATACATATTACACAGACCAAGTCTCCAGTTAGTGTAGACTGAATGTATTGGGAGAATCAAAAATTCTATAATTTAATAATTTAATAAAAAAAATATAATAATAAACGTATTTCACTGGACATTGATAATCACATCATAGTTACACAAAAACTGAAACTCTGTACCTATTGTAAATCTTGCTTGCTGAGAGAGCCGATAACGAAAAATAAGCCCATGTGGGCTATGACTATTTTTTCTGTTGTCAATATTGATTGTTTATAAATATAAACATTTGAAATATAAATATACATAAGAGCATAACCCAATTAGTTTTAATTTAAAAATAACATATTTCAGCCGAAAATATTTTACAATATGTTCTTGAGAATTGTACACTTTTGATTTGTATCTATATCAATAAAATCAAATAATATCATACTACTTATTAGTTATTAATATTTATTAATTATTATTATTACAATATGCCCATATGCCGCAGTATCGTATGGTATATCTTTATATATACCATACACCTATATGTTATAATATAATTCGCTATTGATATAACTATATGTATTTAATTGAGTTATTTTTCTTGAAGAATTTTGATTAATGGAACAAGAAATTAATTTAACTATATTTGTAATTCCCTACTCTTGTAAATGGTTATGTAATATCAATAATAATTTTTATTTTTATTATATTTATTATTTAATTATTTATAAATTAACTTAACGTAAATTTCATTAAAAGTAACTCGTTATTTATTAAGTTAATGAAAATTGAATTTTAAAAAGTTAAGTTAAAAGTTAAAATTAACTTAACTTTTAACTTTTTAACGCGTTTATACCCAGGCTTGTACATTTGTATATATAATTTAGTGATACAATTTTTTTGAAGTTAAAAATGAAAAGTATGGTGTTCCGGAGCCCAATAGATTCTTAATTCAGGCTAGAATCAATCCAGATGGAAACGGTCTTACCCGACAGAAAGAACGAAGGCACTTCGCCACCGAAACATTGGATTAGTATAGCTAGTCCTTGAAGCGTCTTCATCCAAGATTTTGTTTCAGGATGATAAAAAGTCGACAAGTCTTCCAGGTACCTATTGCATAATTTGTAAGACACTGCCATTCATTATTATAGTTGTTAGTGGTATTTAACATTCTAACACATCATTACAACCTGTGGTATGCATACCACTAGTGGTACTTGGAAAGCTTACGTGTGGTAGGCTAAGAACATATTCTTTAACAAAAATGGAATGGAGCATTGCTCACTTAAAATATTATATTTGGTTTATTTTATATTAATAATAATATAAATAATTATAATTGTACACATTTCATTTTTTTATGTATTAAATACTTATATTATTATCATAGTTTTGTAGTTCCTAATATAATAAAATTATACTTTTTGGCAAGTAAATTTTCAAACTGTATAGGTGGTACGCGGATACAAAAATTTGAGAACCGCAGTTCTATCATAATAGGTTGATTCTTTTATCATTGAACACTTATTATTTCAAAAAATGTAAATAATTTTGAAAATATTATTTTACATAATGTCAAGTCGCTTACAAAACAACGTTTTTATCGAAAAATTATATTTCCAAATATTGCGTATCCTTATAATTTCTTAAGTTTTTTACTTTTTTAAATGATAATATAGAGTTTAAACTTCATATTCCAAAGAAGAATATTTATCTAAGTATTTCGAAACATAAAAATTGAATTTAGGGTGAGTCATTTATGATTTAAAAGTATTTAAAGTTTTGATAAGGGGAGTGGAATATTATAGGAATTTTTTAATAAAAACGTTGTTTTTTAAACGATTTGAAACTATGTAAAATAATATTTTCAAAAAAACTTAGACTTCTTGAAATAATGAGTGTTCAATGATAAAATAATCAGTGTTGTATACCTACAATGTTAACCTACACAAACGTATTATTTAATATTATTATTGATAATGCGAGATTATGATTGGCTACCTACCGGTGTAGAGATAGATACAAGATGTTGTTATATTTTATGTCATAGTATCCATAACAGGGGCGTGCCTAGAAATTATTTTAGGGGGGGGGATTGTCTGATATAGAACTACGACCCTAAACATATTTACAATTCGGTTAGTGGGTACCTACTACCCATCTAATAAACTAAAAAGTAATGACCCTCCTTTTGTTATGTAATTTTGGATATCAACTTTTGAAGTTTTAATCAGAAAAAAATATTAATAAACAATAGATTTATCTATTTTAATTTAATATTTAAATCTAATAAAAACAATACCTAATAACATTTATTGAAAATTCACCTACATTCACAATAATCAGTCAAAATACTCTACACGAGTATTTTGAAAATATTGAAACGGGATTACCGAATACGGTTTTTTTAATCACTTTTATTAAAACATTAAAAAATATAGATTTTTTGCTTACCAGAATAAAAAGTTCCATAAGAACGAAACGAAAAATCCAAATAACACAACCCAAACGATAAAGGCTACAATTCTGAATTCAGTTAGCAATTTTTTGACATCGGATGATACCTTATTGGTGTACGAACTTTCTTGTACAACCTGTAAACTAAGACTATGCATGATTATTGATACACTGCAAACGGCTTGTTAGAACAAAATTTAATCTGAATTAAATTGCCTCAATGTTCGACACCACAAATATATCCAAAATGAAACACATCAATGCAATTACAAAACAAGGTGTATAATTTTTGAACTCTTGTTCTTTGCTATACCAGTCTACACATACACCAGAAGCGATGGCTAACATACTATAACCAATGGATCCCCACAACCTCTGTCCACCATATTGATGTTTGTTTTCACCTTAACACAAAACATAAATAGTTGCACAATATTAGATTCTGAGCGAAACGAGAAACGTATTTGTTCTAAAATTATTAAGTATGAGTTTTCATGTGATCGTATTGGGTCATCGAGTTTCACAACTTCCTTTAAAATTCAATATTGAGGATGGTTTCCGATGACACGTTTTATCTGGTCGATCCTTAGTGATTTTTAATAATTAAAAAAACTAAAAAAAAATTTGAATTATTTAAGGAAAAAGGTCTTTGACAAATCGATTTTGTTTTTTAATTTATCGTGATTTATAAAACGAACTATCGTAAAGATTTCAACATTTATATTATATTTTCCAGACTTGATATTATAATTATTTTAATATTTTGGCTCTTTTTTGCTATCTATTTTTTAACCTATCTACTAGGCATACAATTAACACCGATATTTATTGTGAAAAATTAAGTACAGAGCTAAGATAAATAATAAAATATCGGTTGGTAATAAATTGTACCTATATAGTTTTGAACTCCTTTGGCCACAAACATTTTTTGGGTTTTTAGGTCCAACAAATTTTAATGCAATATCATATTATATTATATCTTAAAAAGAATACTTTCTCTAATAAAACCAAAAAATCTGGTTTTCTAATAAATAAAAATTCGATCATCAAATGGTTGTAAAGTGAACTCTAATTTTAAGCTCTTAAATTATTATTGTATGAATGCTTTTATTTTTATTTTTTTTTTAGTCTAAGTTATAAATGTGATAGAAATGTAAAAACAAATTAATTAAAACATTCAGTACATTTGACAATAGAATTTTTGTATAATTACTCAATTATCTCATCATAAAAATTTGCTTAAAGAAATAAAATATTTTTAATATGTTACAAAAGTAAGTTTTTAAGTAAATATATTTTATTATAATTATTTTAGTATTTATTGTTTGTTAAACTTTAACCCTTTGGGAAATATTTTTCTACCGTCCTTAAGTTTCTATAGTGACCCATTTTGTCTAATATTAATTAATTATTATGACCTTGTCACATTTGTTGAGAGTATACTATGATAATTAATAGTTATGTTTTGTTTAATGATATATAATGCATTTTGTTAATCGTTATGTTTTGTTAAACGGTATTTAATTATTTTTATCATCGCTTTCCGCTATAATTACATTTACAAATTTCAATAGTTTTTTATCAAATGTAATGTTATTTTAACGTTTGCAAGCCCTGTATTATACTAGGGTAAATTTAAAACGAAAATAATATAGAAAGACATATTATGACGTGATGATGAGTGTCCCTATAGGTTGATTGGACGAAAAATGATTTTAATACATTTTCAAACCAAAAGTTTAAATCACGTCGAAGTAAATATAATAAGTAAAGGTTATTATGCAAAATTGGCCTGAAAATTCGTTTTGCCTAGGTAACGGTTTTGGAGACACTCCACCTCTTCCTAGGTATCCAACGTGGATATTGTAACACAGTACTTCTGCACACGACTTAATTAGTAATTACTAATTAGTGATTACTAATAATTATTATGTTATGTTGACGTGTTGTTTTAAAATATTATTCAATGTCGAGATGAACAGATTTGTTGATATTATCCGTATAAACATAAATACGTTTACCTAATAGATTCATACAAATGGTATCCTCCATAACATTCTTCACCGTAGTCGTGGTCGTGAACAACGTGGCTGTGGTCCAAAACAACCAAAACAGCGGTGACCTAATCGCATCCGAGTCGTCCATTTCTCCATTGGTATTCGTGTTAGGTATCAACAACATTATAAACACCAATAACGACGTTAAAATTGCACTTAAAACAAATACCAACCGGCGACAATTGTATTTGTCCGTTAGTGAACCGAAAATAACTTTGGCCAACATCCCCGGAATAGGCATCACGGCGAAAACGAGACCGACGATGAACGACGAATAGCCACGTTGTTTAGCTATCGTCGACAAAAATGGGATGAGTGGCGCATAACCTGAAAATTCCAAACAAAACTATCTTAATATTATATTCGATGGCTAGAAGGTAAGACGTTGCTCTTTTTTCAAAATCGATGTTTTAACATTTTTACGGTAAGAATTCGAGTGAATGAAAAAATTTTTGGTAAACGTCAAAAAATAATATGTAAATGACATTCTAGAAATTCTGATAAAACATAAGCGTCATTGATGATGGTTATATCAATTTATCGTTTCAAATTGCTATCCCATATTGTTACTTACGAATCAATAAACGAAAATAATCTAATATCATTAATCATAATTAATGATTAACAATAAACAATAAAAGTAACATGAAAAAAATTCCCAATAGTTTTCAAAAGCGTCGGGAAAAACAACATAAAAATTAAGGAAAAACGGGAAATTTTACGCAAAATCGGTTTTAAACAATATCGATTTTGGTTTTTGGTGTAACTCTAAAACAAATGAACTTATATACATGACATTTTCACTGGCCGTTTATATTTTCATTTTCTATACACGATAAAATTTTCAAAATAATATGTTGATTTGTTTTGAACTGTTTAGGAACATTTTCTGTTTCCAATTTTATAAGTCTTTTTTTCTACGAATGTCAATATAACTTTATTTGTTGGGTAAAAAAGCTTGACAATTTAATACAAGGCTCCTATCATATTTTTACAGTGATATTTGAAAAATATTAAAAATCTTTAGTCACAGTTTTTATTTTAAGCATTTAAAGTTCAAATCTTGACAAAATCACGAAAATTAGCAAATTATTTAGAGTTGAGAATTCATAAAAATTTTTCTTTTTTAATCTAAGATTTTAAAATGTAATACAAGAGTCCTCATAAGTTTGTCTACGTTTATCAACAAAAAAATGTCTACAAGCGAATGAAATTAAATTGTTATGAGCATTTGAAATTCATGTTTTTACAATGTATTCACTCGATTTCTCATGCAGCGGTTTTGTTATTTTATTGTTTTTCAAAAACCAATAGGTAACTGTAGATACATGAGCATTTTACTTAATGTTTATATTTTCATTTTCTGAACACTATAAAATTTTGAAAATATTTTGACTCTTTTTGGGCTGTCTACGGACATTGTCAGTTTTCAATTTTCTAGTTTTTTCTCTATAAATATCAATACAACTTTATTTTTTGGATAAAATAGCGTGGAAATGTAATACAATATTCCTCATGAGTTTTCCTAAAATGTAATGCAAGGTTCCTGATATATTATTTTGTTACAATAGCAGTTGAAAAATATTAATTAAAATACGTATGCACACTTTTTTTTATAAGCATTTAAAATTTTAATTTTGACAAAATACATCAAATTTAAAATTTAATAATTATTTTGTAGTTTAAAATTTATGAAATGTTCAACTTTTATAGCTAAGGATTGAAAATTTAATACAAGGTTCCTCGTAAATAGGTAAATATATAAAATATTACTTTATTCACAATAATATCATCAAATATATTTAGTTATATCATAGGCTGACTGACCGTTTTCGCTCAGAATCTTTTTTTTAATATACAATGATATTATATCATTGAATTCAAATTTAACACCATCCATTACAGTGACCCACTTGTAACCTATTGTACAGCAGAGTGACATCCACTTATTTACTTTTTTTTTACGTTGAACTTAACATTACTGTTATTTTAAAACTTGTAGTCTATATAAGTAGGTATGAATATTATAAGTGTCTCAACAATTATGAAAAATCCAAACTTGGCAAACCTATGTTGACAGTAGTTTTAATTTTTGAAAATATACTTTATCCTTGTTTGGTTTATAAATATCGAATTTATTATAATATTAGTTTATTCCTGTAATGAAAATTTCAATAAGATACAAAACTGTAAACGTGTGGTTCGGTGTACATACTACATACGATCTACCTACCTACTAAATATTGGTAATGTTATTTATTATAAAATAACATTACCACTATTATGCCATTTCAAGTTGTATTATTGTTATAAATATTTTTTTTAATAAAATTTATTTTTTCATTCATGCTATAATATTTAAGCGATATTTGACACCTAGACTAACACTATAACTTGTCATTTATAGCTATTTAATACTTACCAAAAACCAGTGGCGGATATATCCAAGTTCTGAGGGGGGGGGGGGGTGAAATTTCAAATCCACATAGATAATGATGTTTAACCCCCTCCCCATTATTTATTTTGAAATATTTAACTATAATCGGTACAAAAATATAAATAACAACACTTTTTTTCAATATAAATATTTAAAATTTGAAAAATAAAATATTTAATCGTGCTATCAAACAGAATGATAGCACTACCCCTCTATGGGGCATCAGGCACTTGTCCCAAAATTTCATGGAGAAAAAAAAATATTGTACAACTGAAAAATCAATTAGCAGATAACACCAAATACCAATATAATTAATATTTAAATATTTATAATCAATGGTTGTAGCCAATATTGTAATAATGTATAGTGGTGGCAAAAAGCCCAAGGGGGGGGGGCGGTCCACCAATTACCCACCCCCGATATCCGCCACTGCCAAAAACCTTAGGATCATTGAAAATAACCTATCCTGAACAACAAATTCTACTAATTTGATAGTTCTATTACGTCAAAGTGTGGTTTGATGTAATATCCTATCTACACCAAAATAACAATATTGGTAGTTTATGAAAACAAAAATTTAACGTTGAACAGAAAACAAAAAATTTAAATAACGTTTAAAAATATAAAAACGATAAGCGGAAAAAATCAAATACCGTTTGAAAGTACAATAACGATACCATTAAAATCTTATAACGTTTGAAAGTACAATTACGATAAATTTATTTTAAATTTAAATCCTTCAGTGATGTATTTAATTTCAAATATCTCTCACTCCCTCTCATATAAATTGAAAAAAATTAATTTACAGACGTCTTGGCGGCATAAAACGATTAAGTACCCTGGCGAAGATTACGAGTGTTTTGCTGCTAAACACAAGTAATCTTTATCGATAAAGCAAATAACCGATCGTTTTTAATTTTTAAATTTTTTTCCAGTATTTTCAAATAAAAATAATCAAACAAATACGAATTTTACTTCGCGATGACTGTTCACGCCTCTCCTGCAATGTGTACACTATTATAAATAATATATTTATATTTATTTATAATTATTACGGTTCATATCAAATCGTATTGTAGTAAATAATTAATAAATAGCTATAAAGTATATAGAGTGATATAATAATTATATTATTATAAATATAATTAAATTGCCCGTTTATTATCACTAAGTATATTATACTTTATTACTTATTAACTTGTTGTTGTTTTCTTTTTAATTCACAGTAATATTGCTCTATATATTATATATTTATATATTTTGTGTTGTATATATTAACCTGTAGTGTTATAACATAATATTTATCTGTTTAATTATGCTTCCACCCGTTTTATTCAAATCATTAAATATTACGATTATTGTTGTTATAATATATTAAAATACAAGGCTGGGCATTAACGAATTAAAAATTAAAATTAAGTTAAAACGTTAATTTAATTTTAATTAAGTAAATTAATTCGTTGCTTTTTTTTCAAATTAACTTGTAACTTAAAAAGTTACTTTTTTCCAAGATTAACGTGTTAACTTCAAGTTAATTTTACTTCAAAAATATCTAAATTAAGTTAATTTTCTTCCAAAGAATAATGCAATTTTTTTAATTTGTTTTTACTTTGATGTATCATTTTAAATTTCCCCAGTAACTTTCTTGGACGTAAAGAAAAACTATCGAATAAACTCATATTATGTGCCTGGAATTTTTTATTTTTGCAAATTAGCAAATTTCAACTTTACACTAAGTTAAGTTTCTTTTTTTCAAAGTTACCTTTTAAGTTTTAACTTAACGAAAAAAAATACGAATAGCTTATAACTTAACTTAACTTAATTATTTTAAAATAACTTAACTTAGCGAGTTAAAAAAAAACGTTAACTTGCCCAGCCTTGTTAAATTATACGTATATTAGGTATTTAAATGTTATTCATAAAACTTTAGACACTTAAGTGCTTATTTATTTCAAAATTGTGTTCAAAAAATATATTCCTTTTCGGTTTATACTGTGCAGTGTATAATATAAAATTATAAATTTAAAACTATATTACTCACTATTATAATTTAAGACGAATAAAATAAAATCCACCACATTCGTTATTTAAGATGTGGAGCCGCAGTAAATGGTGAAAATAAATAAGAAAGCCCCGATAGGAGGTCAGATCAGGTCAGTTCAGGTTATCAATTTCAGGTTATCAGGTTAAAAATATAAACGCATATAATATATGAGTCTCAAAAATGTGTCTTTTAAAACTCATCTTTAATTGAACTATTTTCTTGTGGGATACCATCTCGGTTAACCACTGACCACATCAGACCAAGGTACACTCATGGATGAATAATTTTAAAAAGTCGTAAACGTTCAAAATATCCTACTAAATCTGTAACCTCGATTACAATGAAATCGTTTAGAAATAATTTCCTCTTATTACAAATACTGCCTTAAGTCCTTTGTGTCCAATTATTTGTTATTGCTGATTGTATTTTTCTCCCACTTCATGTCTTATATTTTTTTTTCTTTTGTTTACTGTTATGTATGTCTTAGATAATATTATCTGCCTACTTATATTACTTAACATTAATTCACAAGATATGATACCGTTATTAACCTACTTAAAAAACAAATTTCTTATTAAAACCTTTAAGCACGATCATTTGTAAACGTGTCATTCGTTACCTATGCCAATCTGGCAATATGTTTACGTCTAATACATTATAACGAGTGCAAAGTTTGTCGCAAAAAATAAACATTGAAAAAACTTGAAACGTATATAAAACATAATAATATAATACAATATCGAGCAGTGGAGCAGGAGTT